GCTCTAGTTTAGAGCAAAGTTTTCTATAAAAGTTTGATCTAGTCTAATGCAAAGTTTTCTATTAAAACTTGCTCTAATTTAGAGCAAAGTTTTCTATAAAAGTTTGCTATAGTCTAGAGCAAAGTTCTCTATAAAAGTTTGCTCTAGTTTAGAGCAAAGTTCTCTATAAAAGTTTGCTCTAGTCTAGAGCAAAGTTCTCTATAAAAGTTTGCTCTAGTCTAGAGCAAAGTTTTCTATAAAAACAAAGCTCTAATCTAGAGCAAAGTTTGCTTTCTAGTCTAGAGCAAAGTTTTCTTAAAAAACAACCCTCTAGACTATTTATTGAAAACTATAAAAACTTGCTCTAGTCTAGAGAAAAGTTTTCTATAAAAGTTTGCTTTAGACTTGAGCAAAATTTTCTGTAAAAACTTGTTTTAGTCTAGAGCAAAGGTTTTCATAAAAGTCTAGAGCAAAGTTTTCTATAAAAACTTGCTCTTCTCAAGAGCGAACTTTTCTATAAAAATTTGCTTATGTCTAGAGCAAAGTTTTCTATAAATACTTTCTGTGATCTAAAGCGAAATAATCCATAATGGTAGAGCTTTAATTATGAAACTTTTTAACGATAATTTGTTTCAATCGTTCATATTAATGTAGACAATATACGTTAATAATATAAAAAAGAACAACAACCATTTAAATTCATTATATAAAACCAAGAATTTTTTTCATAGAAAATTAAAATCAAACCTTATAAAAACGAATATATAATATTTTTATTTTGTGCTAAAAAAGCGCATATAAATTGGCTCCTATAAGTTTTTATGATTATTATTTATGAAATACGAAAAATAATGGTAATATATTTTTTATAAACAGCAATATATGCATTAAAATGAAAAACTCTTTCAATCACATATTTATTCGACCACAAAAATGTCACAATAAATTTACTTTAGCAAAAATAACAAAACAAACCATGAAACCATATCGATAACTAATAACAAAATATAACAAATACAGTTTTTAAGGGCAAAAATATATAGAAAAAATAATATATATTTATGCATATAAACGAAAATATAAATAAAAATGTAGATGAGTATAAGTTAAAAAAAAAATGTTGAAAAAAAGAAGCTCATACTTGAGAATTGTGTATAAATAAATAAAAATTTACAAATAAAAATCTGTAGTATACTTTAAGGCTAAGAGCAGTATAACTACACTTTAAATAAACAACAGTAAAAAGACAGGAAGTGATGAGGAGTAGTGGGAGGGGGGGTTGCAAAATAGCAGCAACAGCAGTTAAAAATATATAAATAAATAGAAAATTCAATTCAATGTATACACTTGAACATAAATACCAACACTTAACTCTTTTCGCGCGTCATGGTAAAAATACATATATAAATAAAGAAAGAAATAAAAAACTGAAAACTTTGCCCTTATAAAAGTTGTGGCATAAAAAAACCATTTAGCTTCCGTTTTCATTTCACATTGTGCAAACACATAGAAAGTGTCAAAGCCAAAAGCACACAAATGAGAAACAGAGAAAGAGTGACAGAGGAGAATAAAAAAAGAAACAACAAACACTTTATAAAGTTGATGGTGAACAAATGTAAAATTAATGTATATTTTATTGCCAAAACAGCACATAAGTAAAAAGAAAATATAAAGCATATATGTAGGCGCTTAAATGACAAACCAACACAAGTCATGTTTTAAACATCAGAATCCCCAATATAAAATATCCTTAAGTCAAACGCTTAAGACCTAAGCGAAGACTCCTAAAAACCACAACGGAAGAAATAAAAAAAAAGCAAAATAAAATAAAAACAAACTAAAGAAACTCAGTAAAATAAACAAAACCCTAAAAGAAACAAGTAAAAAAAGTTTAACAAATAACGCCAGCTTTCAAACCCATTCACACAAACACACACACTTGTAATAAAATGTTATTTAGATTTAAAAACTTTGGTACTTTTTTTCAATTCTGCTTTTTTTCTTAAATAAATAGTTACAAATACCCCTAAAAAATTGTATTCTTTAAAAAATATCTGTGTGTGACATTTTCCATTTCGAGGTTTCTTTGCACATATTGTGCATTTAACTTTGGGAATTTTTTTTATTAAAAGTTACATTAACAAAAAAAAAAAAAAAAAAAAAAAAAAAACTATAAATAAATTTAATGTGTTTTGTCGATATCTATGTAAGAAATACGAGCGCTATGGGATTGCTAAATTCTATACTATTGCCTTTAGAAAAATAATCGGAAAAATAAAATAAATTGCAATATTTTTCAAAAATATTTTAGAGGATTTATTAGCCTAAATAAATATTGTGAAAAACGGCTAAATTTTTATTTAACAAAAAAAAAAAAAAAAAAAAAAGCAAAGTTTTATAGAAAACTTTTCTTTGCTCTAGACTAGAGCACAGTTTTCTATACAAACATGTTCTAGTCTAGAGCAATGTATTCTATAAAAATTTGCTCTAGTCTAGAGCAAAGTATTCTATAAAAACTTGCTCTATTTAGAGCCAAGTATTCTATAAAAACATGCTCTAGTTTAGAGCAAAGTATTATAGAAAACCTTGCGCTAATCTAAAGCAAAGTTTTATAGAAAAACTTGCTCTAATCTATAGCAAAGTTTTATAGAAAAGCTTGCTCTAGTATAAAGCAAAGTTTTCTACAAAAACTTGCTATAATTTTCTATAAAAACTTACTCTAGTCTAGAGCATAGTTTTCTATAAAAACTTGCTCTAGTCTAGAGCAAAGTTTTCTATAAAAACTTGCTCTAGTCTAGAGCAAAGTTTTCTATAAAATCTTGCTCTAGTCTAGAGCAAACTTTTCTATAAAAACTTGCTCTAGTCTAGAGCAAAGTTTTCTATAAAAACTTGTTCTAGTCTAGAGCAAAGTTTTCTATAAAAACTTGCTCTAGTCTAGAGCAAAGTTTTCTATAAAAACTTGCTCTAGTCTAAAGCAAAATTTCTATAAAAACTTGCTCTAGTCTAGAGCAAAGTTTTCTATAAAAACTTGCTCTAGTCTAGAGCGAAGTTTTCTATAAAAACTTGCTCTAGTCTAGAGCGAAGTTTTCTAAAAAAACTTGCTCTAGTCTAGAGCGAAGTTTTCTATAAAAACTTGCTCTAGTCTAGAGCAAACTTTTCTATAAAAACTTACTCTAGTCTAGAGCATAGTTTTCTATAAAAACTTGCTCTAGTCTAGAGCATAGTTTTCTATAAAAACTTGCTCTAGTCTAGAGCAAAGTTTTCTATAAAAACTTGCTCTAGTCTAGAGCAAAGTTTTCTATAAAAACTTGCTCTAGTCTAGAGCAAAGTTTTCTATAAAATCTTGCTCTAGTCTAGAGCAACAAACTTTTCTATAAAAACTTGCTCTAGTCTAGAGCAAAGTTTTCTATAAAAACTTGTTCTAGTCTAGAGCAAAGTTTTCTATAAAAACTTGCTCTAGTCTAGAGCAAAGTTTTCTATAAAAACTTGCTCTAGTCTAGAGCAAAGTTTTCTATAAAAACTTGCTCTAGTCTAGAGCGAAGTTTTCTATAAAAACTTGCTCTAGTCTAGAGCGAAGTTTTCTATAAAAACTTGCTCTAGTCTAGAGCGAAGTTTTCTATAAAAACTTGCTCTAGTCTAGAGCGAAGTTTTCTATAAAAACTTGCTCTAGTCTAGAGCGAAGTTTTCTATAAAAACTTGCTCTAGTCTAGAGCGAAGTTTTCTATAAAAACTTGCTCTAGTCTAGAGCAAAGTTTTCTATAAAAACTTGCTCTAGTCTAGAGCAAAGTTTTCTATAAAAACTTGCTCTAGTCTAGAGCAAAGTTTTCTATAAAAACTTGCTCTAGTCTAGAGCAAAGTTTTCTATAAAAACTTGCTCTAGTCTAGAGCAAAGTTTTCTATAAAAACTTGCTCTAGTCTAGAGCAAAGTTTTCTATAAAAACTTGCTCTAGTCTAGAGCAAAGTTTTCTATAAAAACTTGCTCTAGTCTAGAGCAAAGTTTTCTATAAAAACTTGCTCTAGTCTAGAGCAAAGTTTTCTATAAAAACTTGCTCTAGTCTAGAGGAAAGTTTTCTATAAAAACTTGCTCTAGTCTAGAGCAAAGTTTTCTATAAAAACTTGCTCTAGTCTAGAGCAAAGTTTTCTATAAAAACTTGCTCTAGTCTAGAGCAAAGTTTTCTATAAAAACTTGCTCTAGTCTAGAGCAAAGTTTTCTATAAAAACTTGCTCTAGTCTAGAGCAAAGTTTTCTATAAAAACTTGCTCTAGTCTAGAGCAAAGTTTTCTATAAAAACTTGCTCTAGTCTAGAGCAAAGTTTTCTATAAAAACTTGCTCTAGTCTAGAGCAAAGTTTTCTATAAAAACTTGCTCTAGTCTAGAGCAAAGTTTTCTATAAAAACTTGCTCTAGTCTAGAGCAAAGTTTTCTATAAAAACTTGCTCTAGTCTAGAGCAAAGTTTTCTATAAAAACTTGCTCTAGTCTAGAGCAAAGTTTTCTATAAAAACTTGCTCTAGTCTAGAGCAAAGTTTTCTATAAAAACTTGCTCTAGTCTAGAGCAAAGTTTTCTATAAAAACTTGCTCTAGTCTAGAGCAAAGTTTTCTATAAAAACTTGCTCTAGTCTAGAGCAAAGTTTTCTGTAAAAACTTGCTCTAGTCTAGAGCAAAGTTTTCTATAAAAACTTGCTCTAGTCTAGAGCAAAGTTTTCTGTAAAAACTTGGTCTAGTGTAGAGCAAAGTTTTCTATAAAAACTTACTCTAGTCTAGAGCAAAGTTTTCTGTAAAAACTTACTCTAGTCTAGAGCAAAGTTTTCTGTAAAAACTTACTCTAGTCTAGAGCAAAGTTTTATTAGTTTAGTTTTAGTTAATTTAACTAATTCACTTAAAACATCACAATTACACAAAAATCTATATTGGCTACAACAAAACAACACTTCAAACAAGTTCGATCTAAAATCCTAGAACAAAATAAGACTTCATTAGGAGTGAATAAGGTGAATAATGTGAATGTGAATAATGGAATAATACCTGTGATTGTATTCAATTCAATTTCATTGACCGTTTTCTTTTCATCATCAGATGAACCTTGTAATGGTGGGGCATTAGTGCTGGTTTTGGGCAAACGTTTGCACAACCAACGTAAATAACCCACAGGTACATCATAATTAGTATAGAATGTGTGCTGACCTGCTGATGAGGATGATGATGATGATAATGTGGATAATGATAAGTTTGTTGATGAATATAAAGACAAAAGAGTTTTAAAGGAATTTAAACTATCATCGTTGAATGCAGTTAGTGAAGGAGAAATATTATTTGTAGATTCAAAACGATTGCCAGCGGTGGTTGTTATGGGTTTAGGTGATGAATTTATTAATTGAATAATTATTTCCGTTTCAGTTTCTTGTGGCCTGTCCATGGCACCTCCTTCTACATAATAATCACTATCATAGAATGTTTCATCTAAATAGATGTTTGTATCATAGTCCTGATTAATAACAAACTCATTGTCCTGTTGTTCTGGTGAACTGTTAGGAATTTCTGTGGAAGCTAAAGTTTCTATAATTTCTTTATAATTTTCCTTAGTTGTGTTAAAACTTTGCCCATTGATGATGCCATTTTCTGAGGTAGTTTTATTTGGCAGCATTGAATCTATTGTATTATTAATTATTTCATATTTTGTTATTTTATCATTATCAGTTTTAGTATAATTTATGGATTTTATTAATATCGATAATTTATCATTGATTGTAATTGTATCGAAATCATTGGTTTCTAAAGCTTCATTATTGCTATTGCTGTTGTTTTTGTCTTTAATCACTGGTAATTCATTATTTATTTCAATATTGTTTTCATTATTTTTGTCATTTGCATTCATGGTTTTCATTTCCATTATTGGTTTTTGTTTAGTTTTATTGTCTCGTCGTCGTTTGCCTTCCTGTTCCTTTGGTAAAATATTACGTTTCATTCTCTGCTTCACTTTACGTTCATAATCTTCAATTTCATCACCGGCACCAGCACCACTATCAGTATTATGTTTATAATTCATCTCTATGGCTCTCTGGTCATCATTATTATGGAATTGTAATTCTAGACAGACTGCATAGAGATATTTTGCAGCATAACTATCATAAAATGATGCTGTAATTGATTGCTCCTGTTGCTGTTGCTCTTCATCATTGTCATCATCATCACCATTACTAACATCTCCGGGTAGAGATGGTGTTTTGTTGTGCTGTATTTCAGGTGTTTTTAATACATTCCTTCCCTTTAGTGGTGATGAATTGTTCATAACATCCTTTTTATCTTTAGCATGAATTTTAATATATATATATTTTTTTAAATTTTGCACAGTGTTTGTGTGTATATGTAAATGATTTATTATGAAAGTATATAAAATGATATGGAAATATTGTTGAAAAATTCATATAGAGATTTTAAAATCATTGGACAAGTAGCAAAAGATTTACAGTTACATATACAGTAGTAGTTTTCATAAAATTATTACTATTACACTCATAAATTAAATGAAATTTTAGAGCAAAATTTTCATGTACAAATTTGGTTTAGAATAGAGCAGGTTTTTCTAAAAAGCTTTGCTCTAGACTAGAGCTTATCAATAAAACTTTGCTCTAGACTAGAGCAAGTTTTTCTATAAAACTTTGCTCTAGACTAGAGCAAGTTTTTCTATAAAACTTTGATCTAGACTAGAGCAAGTTTTTCTATAAAACATTGATCTAGACTAGAACAAGTTTTTCTATAAAACTTTGGTCTAGACCAGAGCAAGTTTCTATAGAAAACTTTGCTCTAGACTAGAGCAAGTTTTTCTATATAACTTTGCTCTACACTAGAGCAAGTTTATCTATAAAACTTTGCTCTAGACTAGAGCAAGTTTTTCTATAAAACTTTGGTCTAGATTAGAGCAAGTTTTTCTATAAAACTTTCCTCTAGACTAGAGCAAGTTTTTCTATAAAACTTTCCTCTAGACTAGAGCAAGTTTTTCTACAAAACTTTCCTCTAGACTAGAGCTAGTTTTTCTATAAAACTTTGCTCTACACTAGAGCAAGTTTTTCTATAAAACTTGGCTCTAGACTAGCGCAAGTTTTTCTATAAAACTTTGCTCTACACTAGAGCAAGTTTTTCTATAAAACTTGGCTCTAGACTAGCGCAAGTTTTTGTATAAAACTTTGCTCTAGATAAGAGCAAGTTTTTGTATAAAACTTTGCTCTAGATAAGAGCAAGTTTTTCTATAAAACTTTGCTCTAGACTAGCGCAGGCTTTTCTATAAAACTTCGCTCTAGACTAGAGCAAGTTTTTCTATAAAACTTTCCTCTAGATTAGAGTAAGTTTATCAATACAACTTTGCTCTAGACTAGAGAAAGTTTTTCTATAAAACTTTGCGTTAGATTAGAGCAAGTTTTTCTATAAATTTTTGCTCTTGATTAGAGCATGTTTATCAATAAAACTTTGCTCTAGACTAGAGCAAGTTTTTCTATAAAGCTTTGCTCTAGACTAGAGCAAGTTTTTCTATAAAACTTTGCTCTAGACTAGAGCAAGTTTTTCTATAAAACTTTGCTCTAGATTAGAGCAAGTTTTTCTATAAAACTTTGCTCTAGACTAGAGCAAGTTTTTTTTATAAAACTTTGCTCTAGACTAGAGCAAGTTTTTCTATAAAAGTTTGGTCTAGATTAGAGCAAGTTTTTCTATAAAACTTTCCTCTAGACTAGAGCAAGTTTTTCTATAAAGCATTCCTCTAGACTAGAGCAAGTTTTTCTATAAAACTTTCCTCTAGACTAGAGCTAGTTTTTCTATAAAACTTTGCTCTACACTAGAGCAAGTTTTTCTATAAAACTTTGCTCTAGACTAGCGCAATTTTTTGTACAAATCTTTGCTCTAGATAAGAGCAAGTTTTTCTGTAAAACTTTGCTCTAGACTAGCGCAGGCTTTTCTATAAAACTTTGCTCTAGACTAGAGCAAGTTTTGCTATAAAACTTTGCTCTAGACTAGAGCAAGTTTTTCTATAAAACTTTGCTCTAGACTAGAGCAAGTTTTTCTATAAAGCAAGCAAGTTTTTCTATAAAACTTTGCTCTAGACTAGCGCAGGCTTTTCTATAAAACTTTGCTCTAGACTAGAGCAAGTTTTGCTATAAAACTTTGCTCTAGACTAGAGCAAGTTTTTCTATAAAACTTTGCTCTAGACTAGAGCAAGTTTTTGTATAAAACTTTGCTCTAGACTAGAGCAAGTTTTTCCATAAAACTTTGCTCTAGACTAGAGCAAGTTTTTCTATAAAACTTTGTTCTAGACTAGAGCAAGTTTTTCTTTAAAACTTTGCTCTAGATTAGAACAAGTTTTTCTATACAATTTTGCTCTAGACTAGAGGAAGATTTTCTATAAAACTTTGCTTTGGACTAGAACATGTTTTTATAGAAAACTTTGCTTAAGACTAGAGTAAGTTTTTATAGAAAGCTTCGCTCTAGACTAGAGAAAGTTTTTATAGAAAGCTACCCTCTAGCCTACAGCATGTTTTGATGGAAAGCTTTGCTCTGGACTAGAACAAGTTTTTATAGAAAGCTTTGCTCTACACTGGAGCTACCGTTTACAAAATTAAACAAGGCTGGACTTTTAAGGGACAATCCTACATTACTTTACCACAACCTTACCTATAAAAACTTGCTCTAGTTGTTTGCAATTAATTACGTTTTTAATTAACTTAAATTATAAATAGTTACAATTAAAATTTTAAATAACCTATTTTTGATTTTCTAATTCCTAAGATAATTCTTTTCGTTTTTTTCAAATGGTCATTGGCAAAATTTTTAGTAGAACAGCAGCATCATGCCATTTTGGTATTTGTTGTTTTTGCCATTTTGGTTTAAGCAAAATAAATTGTAAAATTTTTAAGCATTATTTGTTTTTATGTTATTTTAGGCTTAAAATTGTTTTGTGTTTTTTTTTTTTTTTTTTTTTGTCTGGTATATAGTTAAAAGCTTTTTATAATGTAAAATGTACATTCAAGGTTGAACAAAAAAACGACAAGAAAATAAATATTTTTTGGGCAAAATTGTTTAACACACAAAAACCAAGGACACACGAAATTTAGAATTTTGTAAATGGTTTTGGGTTGGGGTGTAATAGAGGTGTCAATTTCTAGTGTGTAGCGATAGTAGTGAAGTGTAGAGTAGTGCACTATGGATTGGTGAGAGTGGGAAGTGGTATAAAGGATGTATTATTAACGTACAAATGACCAACACCAAAATATATATAAAAGTTAGACAGACAAAAGTAGTCCTTTTTGAAGGATTTATTTTTTGGTTGAGGGAAAATGGTTATAGAAAAACATCGAGTACATTTGGCGGTGAATACATGTTGTTTTAGTGGCATTTACAAAAATGCTTCCAAAATATGTAATTTATGTTAGACAAACAACTGTCGTGTTGCAGGATAACTATAGTGATAGTGGTAGTAATAGTTTTTGTGGTTAAAAAAAATTTACATTTACAAATCATACCCTTACTATGATGGTCTTGAACCATTTGCTCAACATAATGGCCCGTAGAGCCAGCTTTTAGATTTTGTTGTTGTTCTTGCTGAGGTAGATTATTAACAGACAATGGCAGTGGTGTGTCTGTTTTCGACGACGATGACGAGGAGGAAGAGGATGTAGAGGATGACGACTTAGAGGAAGTTAAATTAAAGTACATCTTTGGTTTTGTTGTGGCAGGCGTAAGTCCACCTAAACGTTTCTTTTGTAAGGCTGTTTTTGTAGTTTGTTTACGAAGTATCAAAACAAATATTTAAACAATAACACACCACAACAAAATTTTCATGATGATGATTTTAAAATAAAATAAAAATGATTAACAAAAGGAATATATATATTTTTTTTTTCAAATAAAAAAAAGATTAAATTAAAAAATTTATAAAAATAAAGTTCTAGGTGGTTCCTTTTAATCCTTGTATTTTTGTAATATAAAGAAAAATAACAAAACATTATTTTGTACTTACGATCTTCAACACACATCAGTCTGTCGTCCATTAATTTGAGACCGGTGGGACAGGCACACGATATACGTGGACTGTGTTCATTAATGCGCGGCGCTGGCAGACATAAATGTGAACAGTGTCCATTGACAGCTTGACAATGATTGACACCGTCCGGTTGACGATATGGATGATAGACGTGTATGACCATGGGATGTTGTAGCTGTAAAAATAAAAAATATTTATTGGAATTTATTAAAGAATTTTCCTAGACAATAAAATAAAAGGTAAACTAACTAATGAATTTTTTTTATATAAAATAATGAAAGTCTAGAGTAAGTTTTCATAGAAAAAGTTGCTCTAGACTAGAGTAAGTTTTCATAGAAAAAGTTGCTCTAGCCTAGAGAAAGTTTGCATAGAAAAAGTTGCTCTAGACTAGAGTAAGTTTTCATAGAAAAAGTTGCTCTAGACTAGAGTAAGTTTTCATAGAAAAAGTTGCTCTAGACTAGAGTAAGTTTTCATAGAAAAAGTTGCTCTAGCCTAGAGAAAGTTTTCATAGAAAAAGTTGCTCTAGACTAGAGTAAGTTTTCATAGAAAAAGTTGCTCTAGACTAGAGTAAGTTTTCATAGAAAAAGTTGCTCTAGACTGGAGCAAGTTTTTATCGGAAGAAATGCTCTAGTCTAGAGCAAGTTTTTATAGAAAGAAATGCTCTAGCCAAGAGCAAGTTTTTATAGAAAAATTGCTCTAGACTAGAGTAAGTTTTCATAGAAATAGTTGCTCTAGACTAGAGTAAGTTTTCATAGATAAAGTTGCTCTAGACTAGAGTAAGTTTTCATAGAAAAAGTTGCTCTAGACTAGAGTAAGTTTTCATAGAAAAAGTTGCTCTAGACTAGAGTAAGTTTTCATAGGAAAAGTTGCTCTAGACTAGAGTAAGTTTTCATAGAAAAAGTTGCTCTAGACTAGAGTAAGTTTTCATAGAAAAAGCTGATCTAGATCACAGCAAGTTTTTATAGAAAAAGTTGCTCTAGATTAGAGCAAGTTTTTATAGAAAAAGTTGCTCTAGCCTTGAGCAAGTTTTTATAGAAAAAGTTGCTCTAGACTAGAGCAAGTTTTCATAGAAAAAGTTGCTCTAGACTAGAGCAAGTTTTCATAGAAAAAGTTGCTCTAGACTAGAGCAAGTTTTCATAGAAAAAGTTGCTCTAGTTTAGAGCAAGTTTTCATAGAAAATGTTGCTATAGCCTTGAGCAAGTTTCCACAGAAAAAGTTGCTCTAATATAGAGCAAGTTTTCATAGAAAAAGTTGCTCTAGTTTAGAGCAAGTTTTTTTAGAAAAAGTTTCTTTAGCCTAATCCTGTTTTTATAGAAAAAATTGCTCCAGTTTAGATCAAGTTTTCTAAGAAAAAGTTGCTCCAGTTTAGAACAAGTTTTTAAAGAAAAAGTTACTCTCGTTTAAATCAAGTTTTTATAGAAAAAGTTGCTCTAGTCGAGAGCAAAAGTAGCTCTAGAAAAATCTTTCCAAATATGTTAAAGTTTTCCAATATCCCTTTTTGCAAGATCCCTTTATATATTTTATACTGACAAGCCTAAAACTGTTAATAAATTTCACCTCTTTTCATAACCCTCTCCATAAACCATCATAAAACTGTCTTGAAAATATTTAATTTTAAAATTTTCTTTTAAAACCCCTTTTCAACCCTGGCACTTAACATCACTCTGTACCAAAATTTACAAGATGAATTCTCAAAGGATGAACATACTTTACCGCATAGCAGACAAATTTATTGTTGCACTTCCTATAAAATTGCCTCTTTCTCGAACGAGAACATATGTATGTTTGCAAGTGTTTGTGTTGTATGCAACATGCAGCTGTATGTGGCAAACACCAAAGAGTAGCAGCCAACAACCAGTTTGTTTTCTCAAACAGATGCGGTCAAAATATTCCATTTACATGTAATACAAGGCGAATGTTTTGTTCTTATTGCATAATTTATGATTTTTATATAATATTATATAAGAGTGTGTGTGTGTGTAAGGAAATCCTTTTACAGTTTTTGCTGTTGTTCCTTTTGCCATGTAAAAATGTGTGTAAGGTTTCACACATAACAACGTACCAACGTTGTGACAGAATATCTTTCATAATTTATAAGATTTATATGTTTGTATATGTGAACTATAAAACGTGCTCTCTGGTTTAAAAGAAAATCCTTAAACGCATATACGCACACACTTATACTTTTCTTTGCCATACTTTGAATTTATCATGGGACCATAAGGAAACAAATAATAAAATATAGTGTAAAAGGACGAAAAAAACAGCCAACAAAGAGGCCACAATGTTCACACTTATGAGCTCAAAAAGAAAAGGATTATATATGTAATACCAAGAATTTCGCAAGGATAATGAACGTATTTTTTCTCTACTTTTTTTCTTAATGTAAAAGGTAAATCAAAAAAAGAAAATCATAGTAGTAAATTTTAAAAGCTGAGTGAGTGAGAGTCTTAGCAGCTGAGTGCAATATTTTATAGGTAACTGCAGGTAGTAATGAAAAAAAGTTGATTTACCTTATTTAAAGGAAGGAAATTATTTTATAGTAAAAATGTTTCAGATATTAAAAGCCTTTTTTATATGAAAGTAACTACCATGTAAACAGATGAGAGTAAATTAAAATGATAAAATTTTAAAAATAAATAAAATAAAAATTTTAAAGAAAAATACTGAAGTGAATAACGAACCCAATTTCGGATACAATTTTCTTTAATAAAATATTAAATTTTGGTAGATTTCTTTAAAATGTTTAATCAATATTCTTTAAATAGAATTTTCCTAGAAAATTTAGAAATTTTTAGCTAAATTTTTTTCATTTTTTTTTTAAATTTTAAGTTAATTTTTAGTTTGTAAGTATTGCAGCTCTTGTTGTAGGTTATCCTTGTTAATAAATTTAATACTATTTTAATGCTTGATATCTAAGCTTTTCATTGTGGTATAATTTATTAAACTTTTTTAACAATTTATTTTAAAAATTTTCAGAATACTAATTTATGTGCCATTTTAGGAAATTTATAGAGTAATTTTGACTAGGCTAGTAGCAATACGAAATTAACACATTTTTAGAATAATTTCAATCTAAATTATTGGCGGTTATTTCTAGTTTAAAATTATGTAAAAAGTTTTGCAAACTTTGAAAATGTTTTTAACCAAATTTTAAAAATGACAAAATTTTGATGAAAATTTCACCAAAAATTAAGAAATAAAAAAATTTATTTGCGATATATATTTTAAAGAAAAATTGTTGAATAAAAGTCTAGTAGAAGTAACAACAATTTAATTCAAAATTTTGAACTTTATTATGAGGCTAACATTTAAAATCTGGTAGTCTATAAAGACTTTTGAATTATTTTTAAAGGAGTCTAGTGTGATAAAATTTCCTAGAAAACTTAAAATTTTCAAAAAAAAAAAAAACTTTTTTTCTCTGACTCAGAATTTTAAATTGTTTCTTAACTAAAAAATATGACTTTGTTTATATATGTGAGGTATTGAAAAGCTTTTTTCAAAAGCTTTTTTTAAAAATTTATTAAATGTTTCATAAAAAATTTTAAATTTTGTAAATTTTCAAGCTAGTGTTACTGATTTTTCACTTTTAAGCCTGTATTACTATAAGGAAAATGTAATAGATTTAAGAAATTTATGCCTCAGTTGAAAGCTGATATTAATAGCTTTAAAATGATATATACATCTTTGTAGAATTATGATTTTATTTAAATAAAATTTTATTTAATTTAAATGAACTTCAGTTTTAGAAAAATTTTAAGGTATTTTTGTCGGTTCAGTTTTTAATACTTCTATTAACATATTGGATTAAAATTTTATTTAATGTGATTGGCAGTTATAAGTAGTTTTAGAAACTTTTTACTAATTTAAAATTTTCTAAAAATTGTTTAACAAAAATTTAAAAAATCCAAATTTTTTGAGAAAATTTTGAAGGAAAAAATATTTTTGAAATATTTTTACCTGGTCTTTTTTAAATGCTTCCTTTTATATATTGCTCTAAAATTGTATTTAATTTGATTTGCAGTTATAAGTAGTTTTAGCAACTTTTTATAGTTTTTAAATTTTTCAAAAATTGTTTAATAAAAATTTTGAAAAACTAAAATTTTTGAGAAAATTTTGAAGGAAAAAAAAATTTAGGTCTTTTTGCCTGGCGCATTTTTTAATACTCTCTTTTACATATTGGTTAACAATTTGATTTACTGTGATTGGCAGTTATGAGTAGTTTTAGAAAATTTTTATAAATTTTAAATTTTACAAAATAAATTTTAAAAATTTTTGAAAAACTAAATTTTTTGAGAAAATTTTGGAGGAACAAAATGAGGAACCAAATTATAAGGTCTTTTTGCCTGGCCCCTTTTTAATACTTCGTTTAACATATTGGTTTAAAATTTGATTCATTGTGATTGGCAGTTACGAGTAGTGTTAGAAATCTTAAAAAGTTTTTGAATTTTTTTAAAATTGTTTAACAAAAATTTTGATAAACTAAAACTTTTTGAAAAAATTTTGTAGGAAAAAAGATTGTGAAAAAATTGAAGGTCTTTTTGTCTGACCTGTTTTTAATACTTCCTTTTACATATTGGTTTACATTTGTATTTATTTAGATTGGCAGTTACGAGTAGTTTTAGAATCATTTTATAGTTTTTGAATTTTTCAAAAAAAATTTAACAAAAAATTTAAAAAACTAACATTTTTAAGGAAAAAATTTGGATTTTATTAAAAGCTTTCAAGATATTTTTGCCTTGTTAATTTTAAATGCTTCCTTTCACTTACTGGATACAAAGTTTATTAAGTGTTATTGGCAGTTACATCTAACTTTAGAAAATTTTTACTGATTTTAAATTTTGCAAAATTCTTTAATATAAAATGTGAAAAACAAAAATCCTTGAGATTTTTTTTCAGTTTTTGGCAATTAGTTTTTGCATTTACATTTTTTTTATAGTTATTTAGTTTGAAAGGAGGATGTATATACATCAAATCCGAAGAAATGCATAGGCCTCTATTGGGCCTGTGCACCAGTGATCTATCAGATTAGAACACTAACCTACCGGAGGCCATATTTCTTTATACATTTTCTAAAAAAAGATTTTGAAAAAAATTTACAAAAAAAAGTTATCAATTTAAAATTTCTCATAATTCTTTCATAAACGTATGAAAAGGGTTAAAAATTAAAATGAAATCTACTCAAACCTCTATATAATTTTTATTTAAGCGTAAATTAAAGAAAAGAAACACGAAAAATACACAAACAAAATTCCAAACTTACCATATGTACAGCTGTTATGGGTTCAACACCTTCTCCATTGAATTTATTCGCCTTGAAAACGGTCTGTTTATCCCAATCTGTCCAGTAAATATAATCTTCAAATGTCGTAATAGAGAAGGGATGACGTAAATATTCCGTTGAATATAAAATCTGACGTCGCTGTGAACCATCATAATTTGCAGATGATATGATGTTTAATTTACCATCAACCCAATAGATACGTTTGCGTACCAAATCCAATGTAATACCATTTGGCCACTTGACATCATAGTTGATAATTGTGGTACGATGTGAACCATCCATGCCAGCACGTTCGATACGAGGCGAAGCACCCCAATCGGACCAATACATCCAGCTAAAGGAGAGAGATGAAAGTAGAAATGAAAAAAAGGATATATAGAGAGATAAAATGTATGAAAATAAAATATTTTGTAAAGGAGGTGATATCATGTCCTTAACAAAAATAAATTTCATGTAGTGTTCTCTTTCTGTGTGTGTGTGTTGGTAATCAGTTTTGAAATGCCAAAAGTGTTTATTTGTATTGGTGCTCTTGTTTTTTTGTTTTGGTTTTTTTAACATCATGACATGGTTAAAATGTGAATAGTACATATAAAGCCATATTGGGTTTTTATTACAATGGCGTGTTTTGTTGTAAGTCCTGTTTTTTGTTGTTGTTGTTGTTATTTGATAAAACTTAAGTCTGAAGGAGGTCATGTCATATGCTCCTCTTTATATTTGTTGCCATTTTTTGTTATTGTTTTATCATCAGCAGCATCATGTCAAGTGTCAATCAAGGGATATTCTGTTTTTGTTGTTGCTTGTGGTAGCAACATTTTTTTTGCAACAATATTAAGTGTTGTTTGTCTGCTATCGTATGTTTATGTGGTTGCTGTCACTTATTTAGTTTTTTTTTTGGTCTTCTATCTCTTATTGTACTCTATTCATATTCACTTACCCTTCAATGGGATCCAATGCTATTGAACGTGGTATATCCAATTCATCTTCTATGAGCACTTTACCCATATTGCCGTCAAAGTTTGTCAATTCAATGGTACATCTGTGGGTATCCGTAAAGTATATATGATTGTAAATCCAATCGACAGCCAAACCATCTGAGGTTACTGTATGCTCTTTCAGTACAATTGTTTTATCGTTGCCCTCATCAATGGGTGCTCTATGTGGGAAAAGTATAATAAATACAAAATGGAAACAGAAAAAAGAACAGGAAACAATAAAGTGAACAATGAGTTTACCAACGGTTTTTTTTCTTCTTCATTTTATAATGTGAATTTATCTTTTAAATTAATTTAAAATGTTATTCAGCAGAAAAATAACAATTTAAAATGATTTCATAAAAAATGTAGTTTGTCACTCCCAGCCCGGGTAATAAATTTCTTGTCTATATATAACACTAAATGATTTATCTTCTGCTCTATTAGGTTTTAAGTTAACATCTTTTAAATTTAAATTAACAAAACATTATATAAAAACTACAAAATATTTGCAATCATGTCCAATTTCCATCCCTGTAGTTAAAGCTTTAAGCTTTTATATTTTAAATTAGTTATCTAATTCTTATTAAAGTAATTATTTAACATTTTAAACAGTTTTTAAAGATTTTTGTTAAAAAATTTTTGGTAAAATTTCAAGTTTGTTATAAATTCCGAAAATTTTTTAAAATTTTTAAATTTAAGGCTTTTGAAATATATTAAAGGAGTAACAAATTTAAAAATTTCTTTTGTCAATGTAAAGCTTGTTATGTAAACTTTCTAAAAAATGTATAAAACATTATTAGCTTATTTTCTATCACATAAAATTTCTTAATAATTTAAAATTTTATACGATTTTCAAAATTTATGGCATCATTTTGAGAAAACTAATTTTAAAATTTAAAGAAGAATTTTAGTTATTATTTGTTTCTGTTACTGTTGGCAGTTATTTCTAGTTTTAAAATCCATAAAATTTTTACAAATATTTGAATATTTTCTAAAAGAAATTTTAAAAATTTTAAATTTTTTGGGAAAATTAAGCAAAAATTTATTTTTGTAAAAAATATAATTCTATTGCAACGGAGTCAATATTGTTCTGGAAAATGTTTTTAAGCTCATTTTAGCTATTTTAATTAAAAAACCTAAAAAAATCCAAAAAATATATTTCAAAAAAATTTAAGATTTTTATAAAAAATAAGGAAATCCCTACCCTGTAAGTGAAAATTTTTTTTCGAAATTCTATTTTTAGAACTGTTAACCTAATTTTAAGTATTTTTAATCTAAATCAATTTTAATGCATTCAAAAATTTTCAATTTTGCACATTTTTCAGAAATTTTGTCACATTTTTCATGTTTTAGCTATTTAAAATAGTGTTAAATATGGCTAGATTAATAAAAATCTGGCATCTTTGTAAAGCCTAATTTCTTTGCTTTTAAATTATTATAAATATAGATATAAATGGTTAATTTATTTAGGAAATTTTTATCATAAATGGAATTTACTTCAAAATTTCAAAATTTTTGGAGTCATTTTCAGCCGTTTAATTTGAAAACTTAAAAAACGATTTTGGTTATTTATTGTTTTTGCTGTTGTTGGCAGTTATCTCTAGTTTTATAAAATAACAAATCTTTTCAAACTTTTTAAAGTTTTTTAAGAAATATAATGAAAAAACTAAAATTTTTATGAGAAAATAAGGCAAATTTTTACTTAAAAAAGAATATATAAAAATTTTAAATCCCATGCCTGCAAAAGCCAAAAAATGCTGAAATCTGAATTCTAGATGTGATATAATGTTTCTAAAGCTTATTTCAATACATTTTTTTCAATAGCTTTACAAATATTTTAATTTTTAAAATATTTTTAAAAATTTCAACACATTTTTTTGTTTGAGGTTTTTAAATTGTGGTAAAATGTAAACAGATTTTAAAAAATTATACAATATAAAGCTCAATAAATGTAGTTTTACATAAATTAAACTTAAAAAGTATTGTATTATTTTATTTCACAAAATTTTGTAAAAATTTAAATTTAGTGCAATTTTTTCTGAAATTTTTAGGGTTACTTTGAAGGTTCTCATACTAATACATAAATATTTATTTAATTACTTTTCAGTTTTAGTATTATTGGCAGTTGCAAGTAGTTTTATGTAAAATAAAATATTTTTAAATATTTGAATAATAATTACATGTTATCATGAAAATACTAAAATTTTGTGAAAAAAATTTGCATAATTTTTTTATATTCTACAAAAATTAACATAATAAAACAAAACCAAAAAGATATGTTTTAAAATATGTTATAGATATGTATATGTTTTTATGTTATTTAATAAATAAATGAAATTTTTTATAAAAAAATCTCTTTAACATTTTTTACTAAATTTCTTTGAAATACATATTTTTGTTATTGAATAACACAAAGTAAATATGTTAAATTATAATATTCTAAGAAACTTTTGGGTATATAAAATCAAAATTAATTAATTTAGATGTTTTATAAATAACATTAATCCTAAAAAAAAAACTCATACCCTAGCTTTAATATTATCTCAAAAAAATGTTTGAGATAATGGTGGCTTCTTAGAAAATTTCAATTAAAATTTTACCTTTTTTAAAAATAATACAGACCTCCTAGCGTTTTTCATTAATTTTTACATTAGAAAGAAGCCTTTCTAATTATTCTATATTTCCTCCAAAAGAATACCTTGAAACTCATATGGAATTGTATATAAATAGAACAATGGAGCAATAATAAAGCTGTCTTTAAAAATCATACATAAACATTTCCTTTTTCGAATACAATGAATTTTGTCCTCAAACTCTTTGACATGTTAAGCAAAATTCAAATACAGGAAGTAGACAGCTACTAGATTCAACCCTTTTCTAAAATCATTAAAGAAGTACCATTATATATGTATTTCAAAACAAAACTCCCACCATTAAACCTGTCATATCTACTAATATATTCATGAAATTTGAAATAACTGGGGCCAGGGTGGATTAACAAACAACCTAAACCTTAACCCTACTTACTTGTATATGCTTTGTGTGGTCACATCACTCCAGAATATCATGCCGGTGCGAAAAACAAAATCTAAAGCAGTCGCTGATTTTGTATTATTAACAATCGATGTCATTTCCATATGATCCAAAGCTATTTTACGTATATCATGACGACGTGCCAGTAGCAGGGATGCATGTCCTTCTGTTGCCTTACAGCGTGTATGATTGCGTGGATCACGCATATAGCCATCCATGCATTCACATTTATAGCCACCAATTTCATTAATACAAATTTGTGAACATGCTCCTGGATTTTCGGCACATTCATCAATATCCACACAGGATTTATTATTAATTAACTTATAACTGTACAAAAAAAAAAAAGAAGTGGAAAAAAGAAAATTACAAATATTAATTATACAATATTGTAAATATTTAAATATTGAAATTAAAACATGACTGAGGGGGGAATTAAAAAGAGCAATAGTATGTTGTAATGGAAAAATTAAACAAAAATAAATGCAGATAGGATAAAAAGTAATTTCTTATAATTTTAATTGCAATTTTCACCATATTTGACATAACATCAAAAAATTATAGAATTTTTTCACTGAAACTGTTTCAAATGGACATAAATTGCTAATTGCTAACATTTTCTTATATATTTTTTAAAATCATATTTAAAACTTTTGAATTTTTAAAATTTTTTGGAAAATTTTTTATAATTTTCCATTTTGAGCCTCTAAAAACTCTATTAAAATTAAATATTTTCTTAATATAATTACACCATTAAAAAGCTAGATTTATAAGCTTTTTAAGGCATTTGCAATTTTAAAATATTTGCTTTCAAAAATAAAAAATTTTATGAAAAATATAAATTTCGCACCTTTTCAAAAAATTTAAAGAGGTATTTTGAACAGGTCCAAAATAGTTAATTTAAACAGGATTTATTATATATTTTGTTTTAAATTTGTTGGCGGTTGTCTCTAGTTTTGAATGATATATAATTTATATAATTTTTTTAAAATATTTTTAACAAAATTTACGAAAAACTAAAATTTTGTGAAAAATTTGGTGAAAAATATTTTTTCTATTTTTTAAATTTTAAAAAAAATTACATAGTATTTTGTAATTTTTTGTTATAAAAAGTGTTATAGTTAAATAAATTTATGGAAAATCATAAAAATTTTAAAATTTTTAACATAAATTTAGCAAAATTTTAATTAAAAAACAGTTTTTTCATAAAAAAGTTTTAAGGTGATTTAATTTCAAAATTTCTATAAACATTTTCTTTCAAAATATGCTTTAAACTTACTTCAAAGTTTAATACAAATAATTTGATAACATTTTAATAAAAAAATAGTTAAAACAAATTTCAATTTTGCAGTTTTTGAGCGTAAATTTTTTGAATTTTCTACTTAGAGTCTAAAAAACTACTAAAATAATCTAATTTTTTTTAAAAGTCTTGGTGTTATTAAAAAGCTGCTTAACTAAGGTTTATTATTGCAATATACATTTAGATATTTTTCTTTAAAAAATAAAAAATATTGTAAAAAATTAGCTTATCGCACATTTCTTAAAAATTTTAAGAAGCTTTTGGAGTAGTCTCAAATTTGCTATTAGAAAACGATTTTATTGAATATTTTGTTTTAGTATTATTGGCAGTTATGTCTAGTTTTAAAATATATAAAACTTATAAAAATCTTTTGAAAATTTTTGAATAAATTTTACAAAAAACTAAAATTTTGTTAGAAAATGTCAATTTTTTTTTTTTTTTGGAAAATTTCCAAATTTTTGCTTAAATAAAAAGTTTTGTTAAATATTTAAAGTTTTTAATAAAATTTTTTGACTTTGAGTCTCACTTACCCGGTTTCACATTCACATTTAAAACCTATAGGCTGATCAATACACTTATGCATACAGCCACCATTATTTGTGGAACACTCATTTATATCACATTTATTGGCTGGCTCATCTTCACCATCCGGACAGTCTTTATGTTTGTCACATACTTTGGCAAGAGATATACATTGACCGCCACCGCAATCAAATTGTGTGGTATTATTACATACAGTTTCTTTACGTATGCCTGAAAATTTTCAATATCTTTATAATATATGAAAATAATAATAACGAATTTTCTCTCAAACTTACCACAATTAAGTTCATCACTTTTATCGGTACAATCAGATTCACCATTGCAAATAAGATGCCCCGCAATACAAGAACGATCAGCACATTGAAATTGATCCGGGCGACAAGTGTTATTTTTACAATTTTGATCTACTTCATCATCACAACCGGGACAATCACATTCACCATCACATAACCAGCTGGGATGTAAACAGGTTATACGATCCTTGCACTGGTATTCATGTGCTAGACAGGGTGTATGTGTTTCGGTGACATTGCGACAATTCTGTAAGATAGAAAGACATTTAAATATTAATAGTTTTTATAAAATTCGAGTAATTAAACTTAAATATTAACATATCTTTTAGCATAGCCTTAAAATTTTTATTTCTTTTCAATTTTAGTTAAATGTATAAAATTGTTTATATAACCTTAAGTGTAGCATTATCTATTTTTACTGCATTTATACAATGCCTACTACTGCTATTTTTTTTTTCTTATACAAGTTTAACAGCTAAAATAATGCACAATTTTACATCCTTTTTTTCCAGCGCCCAAATGTATGCAACTGACATCATTTGCTTTTAATGCATACATAAATAACTAAAGTAATGTAGTAAGTATATTTTTATATTGTTGGCTTTTATTATAATTAAAAACTTTTTTTGTAATAATAACAAATAACAATAATTGCAGCCAGTAATGCATTACATTTCCGGGCAAGTGTAGTTTTAAAAATATAAAAATCATGTTAAATAAAATTCTTAATTGTTTACATTACTTGTAGGTTTAGTGCGTTAAAATGTGGGCAAATATAGAATACTTAAGCTGATTTAAGTTTAATTAAAATTTTAAAACATTATTATGATTATTTTAGTAAACAAATGGCTGCAATTGCACAAATATTCAAGTATAGATTAAGAGGGTTTTAATTTTTTTTTTTAAATTTACCAACTCCAATATTTTTTTATAAAAACTCCATGAAATATTGTTTCTTAATTATATCTTAATCAAAATTTAACTAAAACGGTGAAAATTGTTTAGCTTTTACGTAAAAATGTCAATTTTGCTAGATTTTTCTCTGATTTTCCAAAATTTTCAGTTTTGTTCCTTATATATAGTATCCTTACTTTAAAAATCTGACAAAATTTAAGTATTTTCTAATTGTTTATTTAGTGGTCTCTTTAATAACATAAACTATTTTAAATAATTTTATATAAAAACTTTAAAAAATTTACTAAATATTGAAGTCATACATTTTCTCAAAATTTTAAAGGTCATTTTGGGAGGCCCAAAATTTTCACATCGAAAACAATTTTTGTAAATTATTTTAAGCTAAATTGTTGGCAGTTGTCTCTAGTTTGCAAAACTACTAACTTTTTTAATATATTCCAAAATTTCTTTAACACTTTGAACAAAAAACTGAAATTTTGTTAAAATTTTTAATTTTGATTTTTTTTTTTTTCATAATTTTCTATAATTTCCAAAATTGGGTTATTTTAGACTATTACAAGAAAAAATTAACTAAAGCCATTAAAAATTCTTTAATTTTTGTGTAAAAAAGTTAAATTTTTAAGTTTTTTTTTACGCAATTTGTCAAATTTTTCAACTTTGTCCTTGTTTTTGGCCTTAAAGCTCGATTAATTTTCCAAACTGTTGGTAATGTTATATTACCTATTAAGTGGGCATTTTATTCTTATAAATAATTTAAATTAATTTTTCATCAATTACAAAAAAAATTTTAAAAAATAACATTTTGAAGTTTGGAAAGAAATTAAAGTGTCTTTTTGATTGCTCTCAAAGTTTTTTAAGGAAACGGTCTTTTGCCATTTTTTCATCAATTACAAAAAAATTTTAAAAAATAACATTTTGAAGTTTGGAAAGAAATTAAAGTGTCTTTTTGATTGCTCTCAAAGTTTTTTAAGGAAACGGTCTTTTGCCATTTGTTTGATATACAATTGTTGGCGGTTGTCTCTAGTTTTCAAATCTACTCACTTTTTTTATATATTCCAAAATTTGTTTAACACTTTAAACAAAAAACTAAAATTTTGTGTAAAAATTTCAGATTTTGAAAAAAATTTTATTTTTTCTAAATTCTTTTAAGAATAAAATTATGTTAGTTAAATAATGTTACAACTTAAATTTCATAAAAATAATGAAATAAATATTTGCTTTTGTATATAAAAATACAAATTTTAACGATTTTTTTCGGATTTTACAAAATTTTCCATTTAGTTTACTAATTATAGTAACTAAATTTTAAATATTTTGAAAAAATTGTGTTACTGTTCAAAAGCCTATTTAGGGGGCTACTTAGTGACATAAAAATTTTAAATAAATTTTAAATGAAAACTAAAAATTTGTCTAAAATTTTTAAATTTTGTATTTCTTTAAAATTTTTAGGGTCATTTTGGAGTGATTCAAATCTTTATAAAAAATCAAACTTTTAATAATTATTTTAGTCACAATTATTGGCAGTTGTCTGTAGTTTGGAAATATGCACACTTTTTTAATCTATATCGAAATTTCTTTAACATTTTTAACAAAAAACAGTATGAAGTATGTAATTTTCAATTCGAGCTATTTAATAATAATTTGATTATCCTTTTTAAGAAGTTTAACTTATTTAATGAACATTTTAAGGACATTGCTACCATTTAAAAAAAAGTCACGTTTAAAATATATAAAAAATGTCCTTTTTTTAGTTTGAATTTTAAATTGTCCTTAATAGTAAATTATTTATGAACTCATTTTTTTTTCTTTTAAATATTTTTAAGATACCCTCTAGTTTATTAAATTAACTACATAACTGCATTTACTAGCAATTTTAAGCTATAACTATAAAAAACTTTAGTTTGTGACCAAAAAAAAAAGAGAAATAAAAGCCTTAAAATATGCAAGTTTTTTTCCCTTAAACATAAGACTAAAAACTACAATTTTATTTTAATATAACAAAACTCTACCAGTACTATTGCCACCTCCTCCCAAAAACAAGAAATTTATGTTTAGTTGCCGGCCGGAATGAAACAGGAACTACTAAACAATTGTTGCAGAAAAAAAATAGAAAAAAAAACTTAAAACAATTTTTATTTAAAGCATACTATAAGGCTAGTTGTATACTATACAATTCCTGGCATACATTAAGGATGATAACAAAGTATATTTTTAGTTTTGTTGTTATTTTTATAATGTATACAGTTCGTTTTTTTTTCTCTAGTTTCCATCAAATAAATTTTGTAGCATCGAGCAAAATTTTTATTCCCTTTACATTCCTGTTATACAAGAGTTCCTGTAGTACATACACACATACTCATTATGCATGTAAGTCTGTATGTATAAAGGATCTGTTGTATGAATCTTTTATTGTAGTTCTATGATTGTTTTATAAACTCTCCTGGTTTTTTGTTAGAAATTCTACTACTGTTAGGACACAAAGACTCTACACTAAAGTTCAAGCTCAATTCCTAAGGGAGGTAATGTATGTAAGTATGTATCTTGTATGTTAGAGTATAGTTATTGTTGCAATAGAGGAAATGCACCAACACTGACTCAACTTTTGGTTTGTAAAAACATCCTGAGAGTTTTTTTTTTGTTAAGTTTTGTTCAAAAAATAAAAAACCTTAAAAATCCAAAATCAAATAAAATATCTTTCCAACAGACAAAATTTTATAAAATTTAGTCTTACACAAGGATGAGAAGTTGTTTTACTTTTGTTTCAAGAATATTTAGTTCAAGTACTATTTGTAGCTCAGATTTCTTAGCCCTACCACTTTAATACAAAGAAATTTTGTTGCTGTTAGCCTTTGCAGTAACACAAGTTAGACAAGCCAGCAACTAGCCAGCCAGCCATGCAACCCTGAAACAAACCAAAAGTTTCCTTTCAATGCATCGATGGTCACAAAAGTCCGCAAGTAATCTAAGCAATCAGCATTTTCATGAACATTTTCATATTGTGATGCACAGTTTTTTTGTGATAGTCACCAACTTCATTGTTATCATCATCCTAGTCATAGTTATGGCTTAAGAGGATGTACTTACATTTCTGGCCCAACAAGTGCTATGACAACTAACCAACCAGCCAAGCTATTGGTTTAAATGGGAACTTATAAAACTGTTTGCTTTTGGCCCAAAGGCTTGTATTAATTACCACATAAATTAAATTAGTTTTTTCTCTCCCCTTCTCTTAAATAATCTCTCAAAAAGTTTTTTAGGCCAAAAGCAAAACAGATTTCCAAAAGAAACGAAAATCTTGATGACACTAATACTTTAAGCTTAAGATTTGTAAAATTTCTTTATTAAATGTTATTGCATTATTTTAATAAAAATTTATTTTTCAACATATTTTAATAAAATATTGTAAATTTATGCCAAAGATTTTTCTTATTGCAAAGTTTTAACATTTTTAATGTAAAACGTTTTAATAATTTGCCTAAAAGTATGCTACAAAAATAGTTTCGTAATTGTATTACGTAAGTATGCAATAAATTCTGAAGTGTATAGTAATGTGAAGTATTCTTGCGAGCTTTTTATTAGCAAAATTAAACACAATTTTTGAAAAATTAAGTGCAAAAAAGTTTTATTTGGAAAAAATTGAATTCAAAAAGTGGAAGTAGTTAATGAAAAATGTAGTTTTGAAATTTGTAGAAAGCGGATTCGATTTAATAATGTCCGTATGTTTATTCAGTAAACAAATTAATGTAAAGTCTTTAGTGTAGTTTATAGTCTAGCGAAAATTCTGTAGGTCTTGGCATTAGTCTTGTTTATAGACTAGTAGTATATAGTCTAGTCTATAGTCTAGCCGATAGTCTAATCGATAGTCTAGTCTTTAGGCTAGTCTATAGTCTAGTCTATAGTCTAGTCTATAGTCTAGTCTATAGTCTAGTCTATAGTCTAGTCTATAGTCTAGTCTATAGTCTAGTCTATAGTCTAGTCTATAGTCTAGTCTATAGTCTAGTCTATAGTCTAGTCTATAGTCTAGTCTATAGTCTAGTCTATAGTCTAGTCTATAGTCTAGTCTATAGTCTATAGTCTAGTCTATAGTCTAGTCCATAGTCTAGTCTATAGTCTAGTCTATAGTCTAGTCTAGTCTAGTCTATAGTCTAGTCTATAGTCTAGTCTATAGTCTAGTCTATAGTCTAGTCTATAGTCTAGTCTATAGTCTAGTCTATATTCTAGACTATAGTCTAGACTATAGACTAGTCTAGTCTATAGTCTAGTCTATAGTCTAGTCTATAGTCTAGTCTATAGTCTAGTCTACAGTCTAGTCTATTGTCTAGTCTATAGTCT